GGAGCGGCCACTGCACTCCAGTCTGGGCGACAGAGTGAGACTCCAACTCAAAAAAAAAAAAAAAAAAGAAAAATGAGAAATTTATTAGAAGATAAATTAAAAGGTTCCCAGAGGTGACTGTATTTAATGCAAAAGACAATGATGGGGATTTTAAAAAACATTTTAATAGGAACGGTTTACATATAGGGAGACTGGGCAAAGAGAAGTGTCAGTGTCGACTTGAAAAATTGTGTTGAATCCAGAAATTGATGGGGGATTCAGAGCTCTACTAAAGGAAAAAATGACTGATAGACTTGATGGTTCTTTAAATATGGCAGCTACAGCTTTACTAGGAAGTAAATAAACTTAAAAAGTATATTCTGAGTAAATAATATAGTACAGAAAGTCCCTTAGCTTATTAGGCAAATATGCAAATATAAGGAATTTCTAAATTTAGAAACATGCTTTTTTAAAAAAAATAATAAAGAATAGCTCCCGTGGCTTTTTTCCCCCTGTGAATCAGAAGAATAATCTACCTACATTATTTCTTTCAACAAAAATCTGGAAAGATTTCCTAACTTGAGTCTTGAGATTCCGATACAGTAATCAGTAATAACATCTACAAAGTACATTTGTGTATAAAATTGATATTCAATGTCCCAGATTTGGCCACGAATGATATTATCTTGTCAGGTTGGACTGGCCCAGCCTATACCATAGACTAGGTGGCTTAAACAGCACAAGTTTATTTTTTTTTTTTTTTACGATTTTGGAGGTGAGAATGCCCAAGATCAAGACTGGGTGTGATTCAGCTTCTGACTAGAACTCTTTTCCTGACTTGCAGGTGACCACCTTCTCGTATGGCTTTTATTAGTGTGTTTATATTTTTTAAAAAGTTATCTTTCTCTCTGCTTCTTCCTACAAAGTCATTCATCCTACGGTATTAAGATAGCACCCTGTTGACCTCATATAAATGTAATCACCTTCTAAAAGTCCTATCTCCAAATACAGTCACTTTGGGGGTTAGGGTTTCCATATCACTGGAGGCTGTACATATTAAATATTTTCTAAAGATTGGAGAAGTCATATTAAATGAAAATATTTATTTTATTACATCTAACCACAAAGTTCCAAATTCCATTGGCACAATCCCATTCCTTTTCATCATGTCTTACTCGTTTTCTGTGGCCCACTGGTTCCTATTAATTTGATGAATCACTTTAGGTAAAATATTTAGCAGGGTAAGCTTTTTATAAATGATAAAAAATCATACTGTTTGGCTCTGATTAGTGACCGGTAAATAAATTCTTATATCCAGTTTTTCAGTGCTTTCTTTTATTTGGAGAAATTTTATAGCATTAGAGTGCAAATTTAGCTTATAATTGAATGCCCGGCAGAACTGTTTCTTCATATTTTGGGGGTTACACAGCCTTCTGAGAATCGGAAGAAATCCATGTATCCTTTCCTGAGAAAAATACAAAAACTTCCATCAGGTAAGCGTATAATTTTAAAGGATAAACAGACTCAAAGAATGCCTTACTCTGGAGAACAAACTACACCAAACCCTTTTATGGAAATAATGGCTAATTGTTAACATCTTTTAAATGTTGAATACTTCAGTTGAAAATAATCTCTTCTGTGATTTGTTCTCAGAACTTTAAGGTCTCAATTGAACATTTGCCCAAATGTTTTATTAGTTTCAAAGTTCCCTTTGTTTTGCAGAACACACTTGGCTTTAATGTAGGCTCTTTCTACAGCCCCCTAAACAGAAAAAAAAATGATGGCCTTCCATCTGGTCAAATGTAAATCAGACACTTAACTGTTCACAGCAGATGCCAATGGTGCCATTTGTAAGTCTAGTATACAAAGTATGTGTATGTATTTCTGTAATAAAGAACACAGACTATTACACTTTACCTCTTGTTTCATTATTTATCTATGAATATGTACCAGCCTTAAGGGGTTGATTGAGAGGATTTATATTCGAATGAGAGACTTCAGTCACCTCCCCATTTAGCTAAATGTCTTTAATCTTCACATGTGAAAAAAGTTGTCCAAGTTAATTCTATCTGAATCAATGCGTATGGTTATAACCACTTAATGCACATTTCTCAGAAAATTAGCTTTATATTTTCTAAAAACCAAGACAAGTGACATTGTCAGTTAGGTAGTCTTGCAACCATGAAATGATTTATATGATGAATTTATCTAATGCAATCCTACAACAAAAGTTACTCTCTCCAAAAGAATATGCATACATATAAAAATAACAACTTTTTTCCTTTTTTCTTTTATTTCCAAGAAGCTCAAATTTAAATTTAGTTCAGAATTAGTATAATTCTATCTGTTTTCCCATCCTTCTAATTGGATCATGATCCAATTTGAAAATGTTAATCATCCTACTTTTTACATATTTATTAGTAAATTATCATCAAATACTTTTTTATAAATGTAGCCTACATATGAACTATAAGTAATTGGCAATAATACTTTAACAACGAGCATTTCAAAATTTCTGTTTGAGTTCAAATTGTATATGTATTAAATACAAAATAATTGCAACTTCACTGGAAACTAGAATATGAAAACACGCAGAGAATAGCTCATCCCAAAGAAGTATCATGTAAGCCACACATTTGAGCCACATATGTAATTTTAAAGGTTCTAGAAACCACATTAAAAAGGAAACAAGTAGATTAATTTCAACAAAGACTTTTTTATTTAGTCAGATTTATCAAAAAATTATCATTTTTAAGGCTTGATAATATTAAAAAACTGAGTAGTTTATGTTCTTATTTTTTCATACTGTCTTCAGAATTCAGTGTATATTTTATAATTTCAGGGCATTTGAATTTGGACTAGCCATATTTCAGTTGCTTAGTGGCCACATGTAGCTAATAACTACTATATTGGACAGCACAACAGTGTTCATATGATTATATGACACAAGCCAGGCTATTATTGAGAATGAAAGAGGGTGCTATCAATAATTATATTGGGACAACAAGAGGAAACACGGACAGTCATCCTAATTAAAAGAGTAGCAATTGCGTGTTTGGTCAGCAGAAGTAATGAAACCATACAGATGTAAGAAGATTATAGATATAATTATGTGTGTATACATACACATATTTAATTGATTTTCTGTGCAAGTATATAATTTATATAAATTACATATATACTTGTAATTTAATATAGTATTTACATATGCACATATATGCTGTTATATATAACTTATATTTTACACAAATGAAAGAAAAAATGTTCATTGAATGAGCTTAGAATATGAGACAAAGTCACACAATTTTGATATACGATGTAGCTAAGCATCTATATTGATTTATGGAAAGTATTTAAGACCGTTCATAGTACTTTTAAGCTGCTCACATTCATGTTCAATAATGCTCTAAATTATGTCATCTTGAAATAGAAAGTTGTATATGATGTTAAGTATTGAACATAGAGTCAAACTATTCTTAAAATGATAGCTTGTGAAAGATGCTTGCCTACATTGCTTGAATGTTCTTATCCAAAGTTTGTTAAGAGTGTTAAATTAAACTTGCCTCACTGCTATTTAACACCTTCCTTTGCAAAGTAAACGTGTTATTTATTTTTAATATTCTAAATTATGTTACAGGATGAAGTCAAACGGCTATCAGCTCTTCAACCTCAAATCGAACGATTAAAAATTCAAAGCATAGCCCTGAAAGAGAAAGGACAAGGACCCATGTTCTTGGACGCAGACTTTGTGGCCTTTACAAATCATTTTAAGCAAGTCTTTTCTGATGTGCAGACCAGAGAGAAAGAGCTACAGACAAGTAAGTACACATGTTTTAAATGGCTCACTTGAAAATTTTCATATTGGTCATTTGTGAGGAAAAATAGAAAATATTAACATGAAAGAAAAACTTCTATCAAAGGTACCACCCTCCATGAAATGTATATTAACAAGTAATGAAATGCTGGTGTTGAAAAATAGAAATGTTATCCTTAGATTTGTTTCTTCATAATAATTCTAATACTTTGAGGAACAAAGAAAATGTGTTTTGTACAGACGTAATGGTTCTTTGGTAGGTTGCAAATTTCAAAATCAGATGTTTTTTAACATTGAAGGATTTAAAAGAGCCACTGAGACCATGTGAATAGGCCTTCATTCAATCATGTTTGCTCTATGTACAAGAATATTTAACTAGGCATCTTCTGATAATTCTATCACTTTATTTGAAGAGTATTATAGCTTTAGCATACATGTGGCAACTAAAACTTAGGAAAGGACAAATTATTCTTTGGGCTACATTTTACTCTTGGATCACTATAATTACATAAATCCTCTTCCTTTCCTTTGATGATAAAATAAAAGATAAAAGTGGAACAATTATGCAAATGCATACCACGTGACTAGCAAATTTTTCAAGATGTCTCTTTTGTCTCTCACTAATTTGCTTTAATAAGATGATGTTAATACATGGTATCTGCTCCAAAATATCTCTACCCATCAGCTTAATTTTAAGACACGAATTCTTATGAGACAGGTTAATGAACATTTTAAATAAATAGTTTTTCATCTGCCATACACATGCATACATATGGTCCTGGGTACACATGAAGAATTACAGAATATAATTGGATTTTAAGGAATTGATATTAAAGTATTTTTTAAAAGCCTCTTTCCCAAATTTGTTATGAGAAGCACAAGAACATATGTTTGCTTTCTATTAAAACTTTAATTAGGCCGGGCACGGTGACTCAGCCTGTAATCCCAGCACTTTGGGAAGCAAAGGTTAGTGGATTGCCTGAGCCCAGGGGCTCGAGACCAGGCTGGGCTATGTGGTGAGACCTCATCTCTACAATAAATCACAAAAATTTGTTGGGTGTAGTGGCGTGTGTCTTTAGTTCCAGCGACTTGGGAGGCTGAGTCGGAAGGATCACCTGAGCCTAGCAGGTCAAGGCTGCTGTGGCCATAAGAGTGCTACTGGACTTCAGCCTGGGCGACAGAGTGATTCTCCGACTTAAAGAAAAAAAACTGTACTTAGTTGGAAAACACATTTTTCTATTGCTTTTTTGGTAAATATTTTAAAAATTTAATAAATACTATAATTTCTAGAATTAATATAGTGATATACATAAAGGATTCCTATTTCCTAGCGCTTTGGTTTTACAAAAACAAAATGAACTAAATAAAGCAAATAATAAATACACGTTTTTTTCTTGTACTTCAAACTTGTGTTTCCTGAGGGGTGTATTTTCCTGATAGGAAATCAGGTTGTAAAACTTTACAATAATATCAGCTCCATCTAGTGGATGTTAATGTACTTATTGCCGTGTCTCTAAAATTGGGGAAAACATTTTGAATGTCCTAAATACTCAAATACTGACCTATTTAATAATAATATGTTTTGTTTTGTTATAAAATCCATAAACCTCTCCTAAAACCAAATAATTTACCAGAAAATCATTTTAGTTTATATATACCTGCTGATTATATTAAGGTTCAACTTTTTTCCATTTACTTTAAAGATGTTGAGAATAGCAATGTTTGATAACTAATATTTATCTATGATACTACAATATAAGCATGGAATAACATAGTCTCTCTATTCATACAACTATCAATCCATCTATATAATCATCCTTCTTTTCTATATCTTTCATAAATACATATGAGGATTGTTTATAAAACTGTAAAAATTTTCACACCATTGATCTCTAAATAAATTGTCTTCCCTTCCGATTTATTTACCAAAACATCTCTAACATTTTTATTTACCCTTTTGGAATACTTGTCTTGATTAATTAATCATTTAATTAAGTATGTAATATATACATAAAATTGAAATTTTGCTCATAAATTTATGTAGTAGTTTATTTTGTTAATGTGTAATTATTTTGAATAATTGTACATCTGTATATATTATCCCTAAACTGACACTGGGGAAGAAATCTCTTTTTTTTTTTGTATGACTGTATAGTACTTCGAACATATTAAGTATTTAGAAAATGCAAGTTAACCAAGGGGCATAGGCATCTGCAATGACTTTTATTTATTTTACTAGCTTTCTTACAGTGAAACAAAAACCTGACTTTTGAAGTATACTTTGAGCAATGAAAACTAGTGTAAGAAATTGATGGTTGCTGCCACAAGTGACAGGAGAAAATAATATTAAAAGATATATTGCTTTCTATTTTCATAGTTTTTTTAGTATATAAATGACTTTCTTATACATCATTTTACTTAGTTCTCAGAGAGCAATAAGTTGCATATGCTTTGTTAACCCTATGCCACTAGTGAACAACAAGACTAGAGTAACTGAAACGGTTGGTATGGGATTGTATAAGAACTAGATTGTATGCATGAATGTTTATAACAGTTTTATTCATAATAGTCAAAAAGCCACCCCCATTTCCATCAACTTATATGAAGAAAATGTGTATACCTCTACAATGAAATATTATTCAGTATTATTCAGTAATAAGAAATGAAAAACTGGTACATGCTGCACCATGGATGACCCTTGAAAACATTATGCTAAGTGAAAGAAGCCAGTCAAAAGATCATATATTATATAATTCAATGTATGTGAAATGGCCACAATAAGCAAGTCTGTGGAGACAAAAAGTAAATTAGTAATTGCCTAGGGCTAGTAGGTTGAGGGGATGGAATTGTCTCCCAAAACAACTGACAAAATAGTTTTCTTGAAAGTGCAAACTGGAAAACCCATGCCCTAACCTAGATGAATACGGAAATATAACACCTAGTGTTTTATAGATAATTATTTCAACAAAGAAGACATTAAACCTTATTTCTAAATGTAAATAAGGCAACAACATTTGTAATATAATTTCGGTTTATTTCGATAGTGAGGTAGAAATCATAAGAAAATAATCATTTGGGTTTTTTAATAGTTTGATTTAGCTTTGCAGAAAATGAGGAAAATGACTATATCAGTTACAACAAAGTCAGAATTTCACTTTTTCTAAAATGTCAAATGGATGCTCTTCTGTTCTATACCCCTAGAGTACTGTCACAACACTGTCTTGCTCACTCATTTACTAAATAATTCAATAAATATTTTCGAACACTTGCTATGTGTCAGTACTATGTAATGTACTTAGCAGAGAAAATCAAGAGCAATATTTATGGCCTCATGGAGTTTATAGAAAGAAAGATAATAAAATTTAATATTGAATATAATATTATCACAGATTTTAATGACTTTGTCATCAGAAAGCATGTTTCGGGGCAGATGATGTATGAACCAAACACATAGAATGTGCACATGCCAGCTGTGTGATGAGTTGGAGAAAGGACATTAAGTGTAACAAAATCAGCCGGGCTCGGTAGCTCAGCCTGTAATCCCGCGCCTTTGGGAGGCCGAGGTGAGTGGATTGCCTGAGCCCACGGGTTCGAGACCCGCCTGGGCAGTGAGACCTCATCTCTACAATAAATCAAAAAATCAGCCGGGCGTGGTGGCGAGCGCCTGCAGTTCCAGCGACTTGGAAGGCTGAGGCGGAAGGATCGCCAGAGCCCAGCAGGTCGAGGCTGCGGTGGCCGGGAGCGGCCACTGCACTCCAGTCTGGGCGACAGAGTGAGACTCCAACTCAAAAATAAATAAATAGACAAATAAATAAATTAAATTAATAAATAAAATTGTAGTATAGACACATAACGGAATACTATACACCTTCTTTAAAAAGTAAATTCTGTCATTCGCAACAATGTGGGTAGAACTGGAGAATTTTGTACTAAGTGAAATTAGCCAGCACAGACAGACAAAGGCTATATGATCTTATTCATATGTGAAGTCTTAAAATGTCAAACTTATAGTAACAGTGAGTAGAAAGGGGGAGGGATGAAGGAAGGACAGATGATGATCAATGGGTACAAAGTTTTAGCTAGACTAGAGTTTAATGAGCTTGCACTTCATAGTGGCCACAGTTAATAATAATGTATTTCATATTTCAAAATTTCTAAAATAATAAACTTTTAATACCCTCAGCACGAAAAAGTAAGTTGGTAAAGTGATGGTATGTTAATTAACTTGATTGAATCTTTCACAATGCATACATGCATTAAAATATCACATTACATCCCACAAACCCACACAATTATGATTTATCAATTAAAAATACTTTAACACAAAACTTGATTTGACAGGATTTGAGGATAGGATTGCTGAACGAATAGAGCTACTGTTTAAAAATATTTTTAAAAGGGGAAAATTCAGCAAAACGAAACCAAAAAATTAAACTTACCTTATGTTGTAATATGTATGTCAGTAGGGTAGTAGTTTGTATTTACACAAACTTGGTTAGAAAAATGCAACTAATGTGAAAAATACAGCAATTGCTCAAGAGATGAATAATAGAGCAGCGCTTATGAAAAAATCCAAATTTCAGTTGGTTCATTGGAGTTTTATGAATTTTTAAACAAATTCTAGGGTGATCCTAGACAAAATTCAAATAAACCCATCGATTTCGCCTATGTCAGACCACTCCACCCTTTGTGAGAATAAGGCCTGAGCAGTAGGGACTTTTAGCAGAGCAAGTGGCATAAGCACAAAGGCCTGAAGTAATTAAGTGATAGATTTTAGAGGATAGAATACTCAGTGATGGGAATTTTGACTGGAAATCTGATTGAATTCCAATCACAAAGACCTTTGTCAAACTAAGGAAGCAATTTTTATATTGGCATTTTATATTCAAAGTATGATACTCAAATTTCCTTGCATTTCTAAAGAATCATTCTGTTAAGAACCATTTCTAGTCTGCTAATCATCATGTATGTGGATCCTGTCTTCTTTCTTGACATCATTGCCAG